GCTAGACTCCAAAGGTTACAAGGTTGTAACAGAGGGTGGAACAATGATGGTCGTGATGGATTCTCTTGTGGTGCTACAGGGCACCAAGGTGAAAAATTTGTATCTTCTCCAAGGGAATATAGTAACAGGTGGAGCTTCTACAGGGTCTTCTACAACTAGCAGAAATCTGCGTTCGGGTCTTGGCAAAAGAAGAGTTAGAAAGAGGAGTGACGATCCTAGTTCTCAAAAGGGTTGTGAGGGGACTACACAACATGGTGGGAGAATGAAATCCGTTTTTAGATGGCAACCGAAATTGCAGCAGTCCTTACAGGGAGGCAGACCCATAAGGACAGGTGTGATATTGACTTGCAATAATCTTGGTGGCAATGAGATAGTCCATTCGAGTGCCATTAAGATGCGTGGGAGGCAAGTAGTTGGTCACAACAGAGATGCGAGGAAAAGTAAAGGACGTCTTATTCTCCACAAGGATGAGAAGATGACTTTACATTACCAGCCGGTAGCTTGTGGGTGGTTGGAGAAGGTTGCTAAAAGAGATGTCAAACTTGGAATTTCTGAGATTGCTTTTGGAAAGCATTTAGAGTTTGACACAAATACTGGAGTTGCTTGTGGCTGCACAAGACATACATGGGTTGAAAAATGAGAGTCCTAGGGTTAAGTTTGAGGATGACTCAAACTGAACTAAAATTCTTAATTAATTTGTTTTGTGAAGAAGACAGTTTGTTTTGCAGAGATACAGTGGCTCATTTGAATTTTCACCAAGGTGGAGATTTGTTGACTTTTCTGGCTCAAATTTGCCAACTCAGTAAGTGTGCTTACATCACCCATTACTTTATTATCTTGGCAGCCAAGTTGAGTGGTCAAGAAGTTATACGTGGACAGCAAGTATACTTGATGAGCAAGCACATATTGATGATTTCTGGCTATAAATAGCCTTTACCCATGGCATTCGAAAAGCATCCTAAATCATCAGAGTTTGTAATATCAGTTGAGGTGTGAGAGAGATTTTAGGTGTAATTTGGGTTTTAGGTGTGAGCCACTTTGCCTTGTATCTCTTTATTTCTATAGTGAAATTTTGTTCTGTCTTCTCCCCGTAGATGTAGGCATAGTCGAACCACATAAATTCTTATCTCGTTTGTGTATGTGCCATTTTAATTTCTTGTCATTAATTTTCCCTTTTGTTTTAAAACTCCTATTCGATCCTTATTTCATAACAGCCCAACACACACATACCAACACTACATCTCACACACATATGCAAAACCAAATCCACCATCATAAGTCTCCTCACAAGGCCTAATCCTAGCCCTACACTTGTCAGCACCATAAGCCACCAAGTGTCCCAATCCACGGCCAACAAGTGGGTGAATCCTCACCCTCCACATGCCATCATCTAAGGCTTCCAAGTGTCACCACTAAAATACCTACAAGTGGACCAATGAGAGTGTGACACTTGTCACACTTTTTCAAAAATTGCAAAAAGATTCCTCCGTAAAATATCTCGCAAATTTAATTGAAAAATGGTCCCTAAGACAAATATCCCAAGAAATTTTAATTACGCAAAACACCACATAAAACAAAAATATTTGCGAAAAAACTATGCATCCATATCCCTACGACGAAAAGTAAACAAGTAGAATGTTTTTTTTAAAAAAAAAAAAGTAAAACTACGCATTTCATGGAAATTAAAAGAAATGGATGCATGCAAAGCTGGGATCACATCCGAGCACAAACCGTGAGGTTATGCGAAAAGAAACGATAAATGGAAAAAGAACGAAAAAAAAAAAAAAAAAAAAAAAATTTGACAAAAAAAAAAAGAAGAGAAGATGGTGCGGCCCTAATAAGGACGATACCAATCTCCCAAAAGAAAAAGTGTCGGGAATTATTCCTGAGCACTTACGACGACCTAAAGGGATAAAACTCAAACTCATAAAAGAAAACATCAACTGGAAAAAAAAAAAAAAAAAAATTGTAAAAATGGGGAGGAAAAAAAAAAAGGAAGAAAAATGACAAGGTCATTACAAGAATGATAAAGATACCTGTTCTTGAACCAAGAAACCCATAATTTATCTTTAGCGAGCAGAAATGTAATGACCCACTCTACCACATGGTATGATATTGTCCACTTTGGGTTTGAGCCGGCATAGTTTTGCTCTTGGGCTATACTCTAAAAGACCTCATACCAATTGGAGTGACGCACCTACATATAAGCACTTCACATTTCCCTTAACCAGGCGATGTAAGATTGTACATTTATAACTCGCCAGTGTGGTAGCCTGTCAGTGTCTCGCACCCACACACGGTACACCCGTCCACAGGGTCATCACAATCCACCCCCCTTGGAGGCCCGACGTCCCCCTCGGCACACTTCCGGTTGGGTCAGGCTATGATACCATTTGTAACGACCCACTCCACTACATGGTATGATATTGTCCGCTTTGGGCCTGAGCCCACACGGTTTTGCTTTTGGGCTTTACCCCAAAAGGCTTCATACCAATTGGAGTGACACACCTACATATAAGCACTTCACCTTTCCCTTTCCCAGGCGATGTGGGATTGTACACCCATAACTCACCAGTGTGGTAGCCTGTCAGTGTCTTGCACCCATTCACGGCACACCCGTCCACAAGGTCATCACAAGAAAATCCCAAGCCAATACACAATGAGATGCAACCTGCGGGTCTTTCCTCTTTGGAATACCCAGGCCTCCTTCAACTTTTGTTCCGGTGATCAAACCCTAACTTAAGGGATGCATCTTCTTAATATTTTCTCTACTGTACCATAGAAAATGCCTACACAATTTCTGAACTTGATTTATTACAGTAGCAGGAACATAAAAAATACTACACGAATACAAACAAATAAGGGTAATAACAGTCCTAATCAACTCAGCTTTCCTAGTAGCAGATAGAAGTTTTGTACTTCATGTTGTGAGTCTCTTAGTGATCTTATCAATCAATGCAGAACAGTGTGATCTCTTCAACCAAGTAGAACAGAAAGGGAGTCCTAAACATTTCAATGGCAACACATCTTCCTTACACTGAAGAAGTCCCATTGTAATACCTCTAATTTTTAAAGGATTTAATTAGATTTTAGTTATTTATTTTATTGCATTTTATTTATTTATGTGGGTATTTGTTTAATTATTTTTATGTTTAATTATGTGTTTAATTGATTAATTGTCTTGTTAAATTATTTTATTTGAACTAATTAAATTTATTTATGTTGGCTAATTATATGTGCATTCTTATTTGATTCCATGTTATGTATTTGTATGATTGAATTGTTTTAAATGTTTAATTGTGTTAGTTAAATGATTCTAGTTTAGTTTTATTTTATTTTTACAGGATTTGGGTTATAGCCTATGGACCAACTAAATGGTTTTTGGACTATTTGAGTGGGATCCTAAATGGGTTGGATAGTGACCCATGGGGATTAGTATATATATATATATATATATATATATATATTACTTTCTTTAAAAAAATGTTTTACTAAATTAGTTACCTTGTTTGTGAATTGTTAGACGTATGTTAGGCTTAGAAAAATAGGTAGTATATATACCTAGAGAGTAGATTTAGATAGAGAAAGAGGAAGAGAAAGAAGAAAAAAGAAAGAAGAAGAAGAAGGACCATTCGAGAAAACGAACAAGGAAGAAGTTGTATGTTTAGCTTTCAATTCGAAAGTTTAAGGCAAGTTCTCTGTTCTACACTTCTCCCTTAGATCTGTGATCTAAATGCCTCTAGTATAACTTTAGGGATGTTTAAAGGATAATTAAAATTGGAATCCATGCTTAAATTGATCTAGAACATAGGTTTTTATGAGTTTATATTCATGGTTGTTCTTGTTGTATGAATTGATAAATTCGTCGCTTAGATCTGATTTTTAATGGATTTCTACATGTTATAATGATGTTTTCTCAAACTTAGTAGTTTTTTATTTTTTTTATTTCTCAAACTTAGTAGTTAGTTATTGTTTCAATGTACGTTAGTTTAGTTATGGGATTTTGTAAGGGTCGTTGATATATAGATTCCCGAGTTGTATTATTGTGGTTTGTGGTTTATTGGATTTATTTATGGGATTTTGTGGTTTGTGGTTTATTGGATTTATTTATGGGATTTTGTAAGGGTCGTTGATAGGTGTTTGTTTATTATCAATTTGTTTTTATATATATCCCTGGTTGCAGCTCAAAAGGGTTTCAAATTATACACTCAAGATGATTGAAGACTGCTATTGAGCTAAGTCTTGTGGCACATTCTACTAATCATTAGTTAGGGAATAGGCGTGGCACTGTTTGAGTGAAAGAACTACAATGCCCCTGCTAGCTTTGTACCTTTTGACTTTTAATTAGGACTGCAAATGAACCGAACTGTTCATGAATAGCTCGGGCTTGGCTCGCTAGTAAATGAGCTGAGTCCAAGCCCAATCAACATTAGGCTCAGCTCGTGAACAGGGGCTTGGTAAGGCTCATTGAACAAGGCTTGAGCTTGGCTCGCTATATATATAATTATAATAAGTGACACATTAAAAAACATAACTTAGCATAGCTCGAACCCAAGACTTGGGTATGAAAGAATATAACTCCTAACACTCCTACCAGGCTACCACTAATCACTTTGTGTATTCAAAGTACAACTTTGATTAATATATACTAATATACATATACTAAATAACATAATCCATAACTATATTACAATTTTTTCACCCCTAAAAAAAATTATTCAACAATTTTGTTTGATTTAATTTTTTAAAAATTCAATTATAATTATATATATATATATATATATATATTATCTTTTATAGTTGAGATTTTAATTTATTACTCTTAAATTAAATCTCAGTCAATTTTATTCTTACATTCTCTTGTAAAAAAAAAAAACCCGTGAGTTTACTATTATACCATTGACTTTATTTAACCAAAAATATATGTGTAAACAAAATGTCAAATGACGATATTACCATCTCTACTCAAGGTTCTGAAACTTCACCGTCCAACTTCCGGGAAAAAAAAAAAAAAAAAAAAATACTTCACCGTCCCCTAAAATGGCTCCCAAGGCCGAGAAGAAGACAGCGGCGGAGAAGAAGCTGCCAAAGGAGGCGACGTCCTAATAGAAGAAGAAGAAAAGGTCAGAGAAGAGTGGAGGACCAGAGGCCTTGGGGATTTCTCGATGAGGTTCAGAACGGCGACCATGAGGATTTCTTGATGTCCGGTGAAGTGAAGGACCAGAGATTGGTTGGGTGTGAGGACCAGAGAGTTGGTCGGCGAGTTGGCAGGGGCGACAAGGATGGTGGGGTTCGATGACTGTTCCGGTGGTGGGTTGGCTGACAGAGGCCAACCACATGTTGTTGCCGACGATGATGATGTCGGTGAAGTGATCGGATTGAGCAAGAAGAAACCCGGCCAGACCCGGACCCCATTCATCTTTTAACGGCGTGCCCACACCTCACAAGATCCACAACGTCGTTGAACACCGGCAGCCGCTGGTTCAACCGATTTAGGGCCTCTCTAAGCATAAATCCAGTCATCGTCCCATCTTCACCGGCCACAGATCTCCGATCAAAGGTAAGACCTTGTATATAGATATATTATTCATGTACAAATTCATACAAATACACGCATATATACACACACGTTGATTGTTTAATGGACTACTATGCGATTTGACTAATTTTGCTGCTGTTGTTGGTACTGTAATGAGTTGGAATTAGAATTAACAAATGAAATTCATGAAGTGAGTAATCAATTGTGCTAAATTAGGTGAGAAACGTATGTGAATTCTAACTTGATCTGTATTAATTTTTACAATAAAATCGTTCGGTGCTCTTTTCTGATTTTAGTCCTTGCTACTTGGGGACCGATTAGTGTTCTTCAAAACTGTTTTGTTTTGTTTTTTTTTTTTCTTTTTCTTCGGCTTTTGAATTGGTAATTTTGCTTCATTTTTTTGGAATTAGGTAAGGATAGCAGTTGACGTCAGCATCTTCCCCTTTTTTGAGCAAAATCCTCAATCCTCGTGCATCAAAGACAGATTATCGTCGTCATCGGTGGCGTGTACAGTTGCTGGCCACAAATGATAGAGATGGATCTTGAACAAAACAGTGGATGTGGAGACTGTAGAAGTCGTGAATAGTGATCATCGGTCATCCCCATGGTCGTGATCTCCCTCTTCCATCCCTTTCCTCTCTCCATTCCTTCTCTTTGAGCAAACCATCAAAAGATTAGAGAGAGAATGAAAAAAATGAAATCTTTTAATTCATTTGTTTACTGATTTTCTAGTCAGCTTCTCTCTGGGGGAGGATTTTGAGAAAAACCCAGTTTTTCTGGTCATTATTTTGCTTCTTTCAGTCTCAAGGCCTCTATTTGCGGCGTTGTACTATTGATAAAGGGAAAACACATTGGTTTCTTGGACCTTCCCTTCATTTTCCTTCACTCTCTCTCCTTTTAACTCCTGGGTTCATCTGTTTTTTTGTTTTTTCTTTCAATCCAATGAGTCTTCAACACATCACTCGAAGATACCAAGCTCAAAGAACTTGTTACCTAGTTTGGTCCTCTTTTAATCAAGCACTCTCCGGTATTGATCTGAGAATGGACTGGTGATGAATCCACCACAGGAGAAGTGCAGAAGAAAGTGAGGAAACGAGTTGAGGGTAAAAAGGTCTAATAAATTTTTTAAGAATAATAATGTATTTGAAATAATGGAGGGTAATTTAAGTATTTATTTTATCATTTTTAAAAGAGGGGGTGTGAGAGCTAATTAAACCAAACCTTTAATATGAGAGCAACATAATCAAACCTAGTTCTTTTGAGTAGTCTATCCCCTTGATGATTCATTTTAGGCTGGGCATACATGCCATTATCTTAATGCTGTGATATAGTCGCTTGAAAAACTTTCTTGGGCGTAATTGACATGCCTTTTTTTTTAGTTGCAAATAGTGCATCGATCCTTTAATATACTACAAGCCTTTTTTTTTTTTTTGGAGAAACCAACCTAGACGATGAGGGTTTGGCATGGACTACACATGCAAACAAGTGAAGAAGAAAAACAACGCAACAAAACCTAGCTTCTTACCTTTGACAGATACCTGATACTTGGTGGAAAATCCATACGGGATCTGAATGTATTTAGCCTCTTCGTCCGCTCTTCGTCTTCTTTCTCTGATTCTTTGGGTTCCTTCCGAAGGTGCTGACAAACCATTCATGATACCTTGTGGTTAGAGTGTGCCCAATGATCAACCCAACCACTAACCCACCTCCATAGCCCATGCATATGACAATCCAATCAGTTTTATCAATTGGAAACCATGAATGGTCATCATCATCTTGCTTGAATTTCGAAGTTGGTGGTGGTGCTTCCGAATTGCCACATTTCTTCGACAAAGGCTCTCCACACAATCCTGAATTCTCCTGGTAAGAATTGTTTAGAAATGTACCAAACTGCCATCTTCACGGAATAGGACCTTCGAGATGATTATGAGAGACATTGAAGATTGCAAGGAATGTGAGTTGGGTTAGCTGCTGAGGTATCTCTCCTGATAGCTTATTTTGAGAAAGGTCTAATGATTCAAGCTTTGTTAGATTCCCCAAGGATGATGGGATGCGACCAATAAGATTGTTGTTGGAAAGGTTGAGCATGAGAAACCCCTTGAGAAGCCCAATTGTTTCTGAAATCTCTCCATCAAATTGGTTACTTGACAAATCAATGACTCTGAAGATATCTAGGATGTTTGAAAACGTTATTTGCACACCTTTATGTGTTATTGTCATTGAGTAATTGTAAGAATCATACCATCTATATCCAAGTAGATTCAACTCTGTGTTGGTATGCATATATCTTGACTCACTATCATCAGTAGTTTTCAGGGCTTTCCAGCTGTGGAAGTAATCTGAAGTAACTTACCACTAAAACTATTGTGAGAGAGATCAATGACGAGCAACTTTGGGAATGCAACAGAACTAGATTCAGGGTGCTTCCATATTGTACCGTGGAATCTATTGTATCGCAAAATAAGAATTTTCAATTCTGGAAGATCAGTTCCCAACCAAAAGGGAAAAACACTGTTAATCTGATTGTTTCCAAGATCAAGAATCTCTAGAAGTTTGCAATTGAACAACGATCTCGGCACTGGCCCTTGTAATTGGTTGAGACTCAAAGCGATCATCCGTAGGCCACTTTCGTTGTTGAATGTTTGAGGAATCTGGCCGCGAAGGTTATTGCTTCGAAGATTCAACACTGACAGGGAATTGGAAAAGCTTCCCAAGCATTGGGGAATCACGCCACTCAAGTTGTTGTAAGATAAATCGAGGGAATCAAGAGAACTTAGATTGCAAATCGATGGTGGAATATCTCCAGTTAATTTGTTGTTTGAGACATCATATAGATGGGTGGACGATGGTGGGATGGGTAGTGATCCGTGCAGCATGTTAGAACTAAGAACTAAAAGGCGTAGAACACTCCACCGAAAGACAGGAGGAGGTTGTTCAAAGCCATTTAGAAAGTTCTCATGTAGGTACAAAGCCCCGAGAGTTTCAATGCTCATGTTCCAAATCCATTTCGGCACAAGGCCTTGAATTCTGTTGTTTCCGAGGTCTAGATATTGCAAGTTATCTTGAAATCTCAAGAAATCTGGAAACTCAATTAGGTTGCATGACGCCAATTGGAGAAAAACAAACTTTGGAAGAGAGGCATTGGTATAACTGGTATTGGTGAGCAACGTTAGTCGGTTATATGATAGTTGAAGCTCAGCAAGATTTTTCAATGTAACAAACATGTCTAGCTTCACTGGTCCACTCAGATTGTTATAACCAACACCCAGAACTTCTAGATTCACAAGTCTAGAGATTGAATCTGGGATGGGACCCTGCAACAAATTAGATGCTAGGTCCAGATAAACGAGTTGTGTAAGATTACCAATCCAAGACCGTATTGATCCTGAGAAGGAGTTGTCATAAAGGTACACAGAAACGAATTGTCCAAGATTACCAATTGAAGTTGGTTTGGACCCTGAGAAGTTGTTTTCAGAAAGATCCAGAGAAACAATATGTGCAAGATTACCAATTGAAGTAGGTATGGACCCTGAGAAGTTGTTTTCAGAAAGATCCAGAAAAACAAGTTGTGAAAGATTACCAATTGAAGCTGGTATGGACCCTGAGAAGAAGTTTTTAGAAAGATCCAGAGAAACCAATTTGTTTAATTGTGAAATTTCTAATGGAATTTGACCATCAAATACGGAGAATGAGAGATTGAGATAACCTTGAAAGAAGTCCAACGGCATATGGGATTTGAGAGAGATTGAAGTTATTGTCCGCGAGGTTGAGTCTCCGAAGATGAACAAGGTGAAAGAGGGTGCTGGTTGAGTTGATAGAACCATAGAGAAAGCTGCTACTGAGGTCGAGGCCAATCACATGACCGGTGTCCCCATGGCATGTAATTCCATCCCACGAGCAACAATCACTACTACTAGTATTACTACCTTCCCCTCGAAGCAGCTTCCACGACGCAACCTTTGGATAGGCAGAAGGATAGCCAGAAGCAAACTCGTTTATAGAAAAGCTTATCTTAAATTGAATCAAAGCAGAGCTCTCATTATCATGGCAGCGTGGCTGAACGGAAGAGGAAGTGTTGCAAACAACGAAATAGAATGTTGCTAGTAGAAAGAGTAGGCGCAAGAAAATAAAAGGAGGCAATGGTGAAGCCATTTTTTCTTAAAATTTTCTTTGCTCACTATGATAACTAATAACCAAGCATAGAAAGGTTTATGTATAGAAGAACCGTACTTAATTGTCCCCAACCTTATCAGACATCAATTTTAGGAACCTTATCCAAATTATTGGTGCGGCGGTTGAGTCAAGTCGTTTGCGCAAATCAAGGGCCGGGTATGGTGGAGAATTTTCTTTCCGCGCGACTTTTACAAGTCTTCCATCTATCATTTAGGGTCCACCAGTACAAGCTTATGTGCAGGGGTTGACTTAGGGTTTTATTTCAAGGGGCACAATGTATTTATTAAAAAAATAATAAAAATTAAAAATAATCAAGCGGCAAACAAAAAAAAAAATTTATTATAAAATAATATATTAAATAAATATTGTAAAAAAAATATACTTACAAATACAACAATCAAAATATTAATTAATAATATTTTAAGGGTAAATTGCAATGACACCCTCTTTGCTTAAAAGACAGGTTGATGTAATTTAGGTTATTTTTGGACAACGACAAATACTGTAAAAAAATATACTTACAAATACAACAATCAAAATATTAATTAATAATATTTTAAGGGTAAATTGCAGTGACACCCCCTTAGGTTTGCTTAAAAGACAGGTTGATACAATTTAGGTCATTTTTGGACAACGACACCCCCCTCCCTCGGTTTTTAAACTTAGACAATAACATCCCATTTTATAAAAATAGAGTCAAACACAGTCTTAAGTGACATGAAATGTCTAATATGTCTTAAGATATATTTTAATCTTCACATAAAATGACCAAATTACCCACTCATCTCATCTCATCTCTCTGTCGTTTCTCTTTCAGTCCCTATTTGAGTTCTCATCTCATCTCAGCTCTCATCGCATCTCTCAAGCTCTCATCTCAAGTTCGGAAGCCTCGTTCGACGGCCGGTGAGCAAAAAAACTAAGCAGTGAACTGCAGCGGTGAGGAAGAAATGTAGCGGTGGCTCAGAACAGCGGTAGAATTGAATCGCCGTGGATGACTCGCAGTGGATGCGATTGTAGTGTTGTAGATATTTTAATAAAAAAATATAAATAATATTAATATAAATATTTATGATATATATATTATTATATGAGTTACATAATCATTATTACATGAGTTACATAATATTTATGGGTATATTATTTCAATCATTATTTTTAACCTTATATACCTTAGACGTTACATATTTACTATCTATATATATGTATGGTAGTGGTGGTAGAGGGATAGGCTGTAGAGTGATATATGGTAGAGACATTGATCTAAAATATCGAGAGATATATATTCTTATCATATTATTTCTATCTTTCTAATATTTGTATATATGAGTGATGATATACGAATGAGTGAGACTCATATAGAAGTATTCTATATTCTGATGAGCGTTGAAAAGTGAGCATTTAAACCCCTTAAGCTTAGGTATTCTAGAACCTTTATCTATCTTATTTTCCCGCTTTGTATTGATTCCGTGTTATTTCCATTTTCAGGTATTTATCCCTAAAATAAGTTAACTCAGCCAAATAAAAGCAGAAATGAAGCAATTCTGGGATAAATTAAAGAAAGGAGCAAAGTAGAGCAAAAGGTAAAATTTTAGCAACTTCGATCGATCTCAAGAAAAGTTCGATCGATCCAACTTTCATCGATCTCAGCACTTCCAGATGGATTTGAGCCATGTTTGTCCCTATTCAAAGATCTCAAAGTTCGATCGATCCAACTTCATTCTCTGATTGATCGAACTATCTTGTCCTTATCCAAATGATTGATCTTATCCAACTGTACCACCCTATCAACCGTTTTTGTCCTTTTCCCAAAAATATCTTCAAAATATCTCAGATTTGTTTTTATCCAAAAAGGCACCGCCATAGAGGATCAATCCAGCTTCAATTCGATAGATTTCAGCCAAGTTCAATCGATCTCACCACAAGTTCGATCGATCGAACTTCCCAAATCCCGAGAAAATTCGAATTCCAGCTCATTAAAAGTTGTCTCATATCCAATCATTGGAGGAATATTTGGTGTACGAGCCCAGCTCATTTGGGGTGATTTTTGACCTTCCTATATAAGGAATATGAGCCACTTTTTGAGATATACTTTATACTTAGATACTTAAAGAAGAGAATTCTTAGTGAGGAAGCAAAGGAGAGGAAGAGGTTAAAGACACCATTGGAGGCTCTTCATTAACCAAGGAGCAGATTTCTTTCATGGAGCTTGCCCTTGAGGGTTGGAAGATATCATCCATGAGTGGCTAGACATCCTCTTGGGCTTAAAGTTAGCCCTAAGCATGCTTTCTACATCTTGATTTATGTATTTTTGAGGGGATTTGTATTGTGATACATGTTTAGACACTTTTATATATATAGATCTTGTTTATTCAATGATTTGTATGATTTAATGCTTCCAATTGATCATTTCATTCTATCCATATGTCTATGTATACTAGAATAAATGTTCATGTATTTTTTCTATTTCTTGTGTTGTTAATGCATGTCTATGTGTATTAATGTTATAGATCTAGAGATTGTCAAGACATAGTGCTTAATGGAATGTTCTTGTGGTTTATTTGATGGTTCATACTCATTTCTTAATGGATTATACATCTCCCTTAGTTTAATTTCATGTCATTAGCTTAATTGTAGTGTAGTTGTAGTTTAGATGTTAAACGGGAGGACAATCCATGCTTGTTGTTGATATTCCATACTTATGAAAGTAAGTAACATATTTTTCTAACCTTATGATGTGTTTGGTTGTGAGCTTAAAGAAAGGATTAATGGCTTAAGTTGATATGTTGTGCTATCTACCATGTTACTTAGACAATATATGCTTAATTTGTCATCCATGCTTATTGAAACAACCACACACACACTCTTTATTGCAATACATGTTTTTCCCCTCATTAATCATTCATTAAAGGTGTAGAAAAGTATGCTTAGTGGTGATCTCTAAACCCCAAGATCTCTCTCTCTTTTATTCTCCTTATTGCATTATTGTTACTTTAGTTTAAATTCCGTCTTAGTGTAACTCAACCACCAACCAATCTTTTGATCACTTGACCTACTAACCCTAATCTTGATTCCTCAATCTAGTACGACTCATTAATCCCTTGGGACGATCCATACTTGCTCTAGCTATATTTTTAGTGAAAGGTAGTAGTGACAATTTCTAAATGTAAAACTTGGCCACATTCTTCATAACTCTACACTACTACCTTTTGGTGGTGCACAAACTGTTGGGTTTCGGGAGTGACGACCCCAGGCTCGTCATATTCTATTATATACTATTTTGTATATTGAGTTTATGGGCAACGAGACACGTATAGACTTGGACCTAGTCTTCCTGTGGTCGTGCACATGGAAGAGATGCCGTTGCGATCTGATTGGGTTGTATCTTGGAGCTAACTAATTTCGTCAATACCCGCACGAAGGGGAGGACTATCAGCTTTAGGTCAATGTGTTTACACATGCCTCAACAATCAGGTCAGTACTTTATTACCTATTTTATTATTATTGTTTTTCATTCTTAATTTATATTATTATATTAATTTGAATTATTTATCATGATAATTTCTTATTCATCATTATATTCATATTGTTCAATTGATGTATTATACAATTTATTGAAAGAATCGTTATTAGTGTTGTTGTTCATTATCTTGTGTATGAATTATATATTGTATTTATATTTTTTCTATAATGTGGAATTTCCACAACAAAATCTTCCCATGGGGAGCTGGTGGAGAAAAGGCGAAAGCTCCGGGGAGCTATCGACCGTTTAATTGCTGATTTGGCTGAGTTGTCTGTGGCCAAGGCAGTAGCTGAAAGAGAAGTTAAGCAACTCTAAGGACGTATCCTCAACATTGGTGCTTCGAGGAGCACAGTGATGAGGGACATAAATATCCTTGAAGCGAAGAAGAAAACCGCCGAAAGTTATCTCACCTTGGTTTAAACTCAATGGGATAGGCTGAAAAAAGCCTTTGGGGTTTTAGATTTTTAGAACAATAATTTAATTGAGGTTTTGGATGACTGTAACTTTGGTGGCATGCAAGAACAACCTTTTACTCTTTTAATTACTATGTTGGAACGTTTACATGGTAATATTTTTTTCATAGACCCAATTTTCTTATAGGAAAAAAAATAAAAAAAAATATGGTGAAAAAGATGGGAAAAAAAAAATGAGGAGAAAGAAAGAAAAACCCAAGAGTTGGGTTGTGAAGAAAAAAAAATTAAATAAATAAAAAAGACCAAGAGTCTTCTTAGGACACAGTCCTATAAATGTCGAGGGGGATGGCCCTAAGCCCCAAGGGAGTCACCTACTGAAGTAACCCAACCTTCTCATTGGCGATTTAATCACATGATGAAAGGTTCAATGGATAGAAACAATCTGCACTACGTGACTCATTGATAACACTCTTTTTAGGAGGTTTCTCAAGGAGATTCTTTCTTGCACATCCCTATGGCATCCGTGTTGTGATGTGGCGTTAAGGAAGGGCTTTGCCCTGAATGAATTCTAGGCGAGCATACTCTCGCAGTGTATAGGTCACATATACTCTTGGAGGATTCACCTAAGTGAAAGTCGTCGTGAGGCCGCGATCGTAGAAGTTGGATTGTTCCCTAGAGCTTTCATGAGAATCAAGATATCATCGCATAGCCATTAATCGCGCTAACCCGCTAAACCAAGTCTATTGTCAATACTATGTGTGTGGTAAGTTGAAGTTTGGCTCAAGGAACTGAATTCAAGACTTAGTTCATTCAGGTTGCTCAAATGGAGACTATCACACTAAGTGTAGGTTCAAGCCCAGAAAACACCTATATCGATTGCATAGTAGAAAGTTGCTCGATTATTTATTTTACTTATTTTATTAAAATAAGTGGAGAATGTTATAGATATTTTAATAAAAAAAATATAAATAATATTAATATAATTATTTATTATATATATTATTATATGAGTTACATAATCATTATTACATGAGTTAAATAATATTTATGGGTATATTATTTCAATCATTATTTCTAACCTTATATACCTTAGACGTTACATATTTACTATCTATATATATGTATGGTAGTGGTGGTAGAGGGATAGGCTGTAGAGTGATATATGGTGGACA